TTGTCCTGAACTTCTTTGAGACCTAACAATGGACCTTAAAGAGTCTACCAAGGGCTCAAAACAGAAAGAATTAGAGCCCTAGGAAAATCTGTCCTCTTAGTTATCTTGGCTACATTGTATTATGACCCAAATGTTTACAGAAATATCAGTGTGCTTCTGAGGAGAGCTAAAAAAGAAAAGCATGATGTTATTGAACCCTGGAGGAAAAGCCAGGCTTGCTAGAAGGCATCAGAAATCTACATTGTGTTCTACTGCTGGGTAGAAAGCAGGGCTTCTAAGTGATAAACCTCACTATTTAACTGAGGATATTTCCAAACAAGGCGTGGGAAGTGTGGCCTGATTTCCATTTGCTGTTTATAGTGAGAAGTGAGAGGGAAGATATAAACAGAGCAAAAACCGTTAAGCAACTTGGTGATTTGGAAAAGTCTCAGCAAAATACGAGATTCGAGAGAACGGGGCAGATGCAGGGCAACTGCATTCACAGTGGAGACAGAGTGCTGACCCTGGCCAGGGAACCTGGACAACCTCCTCAGCAGAAATCAGAAGCCCAGATGGGTGCATCCTATACACAGCTTGTAAGGGACTTACTTGGGCCCCATGAATCCCACACAAAGAATCAGCAAGCTCTTAAGACTGTGACATCAGCAGATATACTGGCCTGGGAAGAAAGGGACAGACATAAGACAAAAGGAAGGCTATGGGGCCTCCAAGGTTCCTTATAGCTGCCAACATGTCTGATGTCAAGGAAAAGGGGAGTGACTCCCGCTGAGATCAGTTTGTCCCCTCCCAAAATCTCTGTGTTCAGACACCTCAGAATTCAACTCTATGAGGAGTTAGGTAAGTAAGGTAAAATTCCTAATCCAAAGTGGCTGCTCTCCTTAAAGGAAGATTATAACACTGACACATAGAACAAAGACCATGTGAGAACTGAAGAACAGGGCAGATCTCCACAAACCAAGAAGGGGCTCTACCTAGACCAATACCTGGATCTCAAGAGTTCTAGAACTATGACAAAAATAAGTTTGTTGTTTTAAGATAGCTGGGCAGCCATGTTTGTTATGGTAGTCCTGGCAGCTTCAAAGGTGGCGTAGGGTGCTGGGACCTCTGTAGGCCCAGGGAGCATAAGATGTCTTTGCGGTCCAGAGGCCAGAGCACAGAGCCATTGAAGGCCATCTGGCCAAGGAGCAGCACTTGGTCCTGCTGAGTTTTGAACTTGCTTGGGACAGATGATCCTTTTGTTCCTCCCATTCTCCCTCTCAGAATAAGGATGTCTCCTTATTTCATCATATTTTGGAAAGCAGGTAATATCTTTTGTTCAGGAATAAACCTTCCATACCCCTAATCTAAATGTCTCAGGTGGGTAGGGTTGGAGGTTTTTGAATTGGTAATATTTCTGTGAGATGAGAGACTTGAAATTGATAGCAAATGGACTGAGTGTTTAAAATATATTAAAGAGCCTGGAGAGGTGGCTCAGTGGTTAAGAGCAGCTGTTCAGTTCCCAGCCTCACACAGTGACTCGCAGCCATCTGTAACTCCAGTTCCAGGGAATCCAATGCCCTCTTCTGACTTCTGTGAACACCAGGCATGTGTGTGTTCCACATACAAATGTGCAGGTAGAACACTCATACACATAAAATAAAATAAATAATTCTTAAAATGAGATTAAAATGAAACATATTAAGGATATTGAAGTGGCAGGAATTGCCGCGGCAAGTGGGAAAGAGGTGAATTGGGGGGGCAGAAGGCAGACTATGCTTGAATTGTAACCCCCCCCAATATGTGCTCCAACCTCTGACTCTGGAACCTATTAATAAGACCTTACTTGAAAGTGGGTCTTCACAAATGGAGTCTGGGTAAAATTAGTCATCACTAAATTATGACAAACTCACTCTAATGACTTGCATCCATACAGGAGAAAGACACCCACAGAGATTGAGGAAGAACTGAGGACTATGCCTACTCAATAATGACACATTTTATGAATGTTCTTTCTGATTTGTGGTTTGTAAAATTTACAGATCCAGAAACCATGGTTATGGAATGAAACCCTTTGCTGAAATGTGTTCTTCAATCTTTCCCCTAAAATAGGGTTTTAGCCCCCCTCAGAGACCAGAGTGGGTCAAGAGGTGGGAAGAGAATACCCAGCTTCACCCTGACAGTTGAACAGAATACTAGATGTTGGCCTGTGTCAGGTCTCCTGGCCAATGTTGACATCCTGGTGACATGGCATATGCGGTCCTAAAGCCTACTTTGTCAAAGTTCTGACGCTTCCTATAGAGATTGGGCATGTTTTCTGTGTCTGGCTTCCGGCTCCATCTGTGAGGTGGGTATTGTTGTAGGTTCATTGTCCTCTGCTTGGAAAACTGTAAACGGTTTTAGAAATGAGTGTCAGAAACAATGAAAGCTTGGCTGTCTGCCAGTGAACATTCCCAAAACAAAGCCGTACTTTAAAGACAGCGTGGACTCCACACCCTTTTCAATTGTTTTCAGTCATTTTTCCTTCGACCTCAATTGTAAGAGTTTGTATATATTACAGTGTTCTGAATTTCTTATAACTGAACAGTAGATCTTTCCAGTCACAAAACTGAGTCAAATCCCTCAAGTTTTATAAGCTAAAATAGCTCTCTTCATATACAAATTACACTTAAAGCATAATTCCAGTTTGCCTTAAACAATCTGTCCGTAAGGAAATTCATTTTTATCATTTTTTCAAAATATGTCAAATTTAGAATTAGAAAAAAATTTGAGTTGGTCGAAAGTTTCTTAATGCTCTCTAGCTAAAACTTTCTCTTTATTCTCATTGGATTAATCCCATTGCCTATAACTGATCTCATAAAGATACCTTAAACAAATGGGAGATGCTAATTCAAATAAGTTAATATTTGAAGTGTCTGAGAAAATTCTTTAACCAACAAAGTCAAATCCTCAGGAGTGCTTTTCGATATAGCCTGAATGGTCTCACCTCTCCCAGGTCCCTCAGGACACTATTGCAAAATGGTGCCGGGGCTGTCTACACCGCTAAGACCAGAGAGATGTGAACAGAAAGGGGAAGAAACAGAGACTAACACAGCCACCCCTTCTCCTTCCTCTGCTGAGCGGCTCACACTCCAGGCCTGGGCTGAGGAAAAAGATCCCATTGTCTAGGCACCAGGGCGTCATATCCTTAAGCCTTCCATTAGGAGCAATAATCCTGATCCGGGACACGTGTGCCCCTTCCCAGCTGTGCAGGCTCTCGGGCAAACTGCCGGACTTCCTCTGCTCCCAGACTTCCTCACTGCAAAACAGAGATAAATTTTGTTACCTTTCTCTCTCAGTGTTCTGAAAATAAATAAGGCAAATGTTTCTGGGGTCCTTGGAGAGAACTGGCTGAGGCGTCTGCTCACATTGTAGCTAAGAGCTTTGTTTGTTTGCTTTGCTTTGGTTTTTATGAGTTTATTTTCCTGATGACTCTGTCATGCATTCAGAAATCCCAAGTTCAGTTACAACTCCTCATCTAACTTTAATGAAGAAGCACAGCATCCAAAGCATTTCTCTGGACATCTAGAGACTAGAGCAGCACCCCCACCTGCAGGGGATGCCGCAGTTGCTTTCTCGGTTGACTAACACAGGTGTGAAGCCGGGAATCCCTCTTCACTGGTTACAGTTGGAGGCCCTGGAGAAAGCACAAGCCTTCCCAAGCTTTGTGTTGTCTGACGTAAACCAGAACAGTGAACGCTTGTTGAGTGACCACTACATGGGAGTAGGTTTGTGTCTTTTATTTGCATTAAATTATTTAAACTCGGAACAATTACCTGATCCTATGATCTGCATCTGTAGCCTCATCTTATGGATAAGGAAGCTGAAGCATAGAGATGTCATGACTCCATTCCCAGGTCTACACAGTTAGGGTGAGAGGAAGTCGAGCTGCAAACCCAAGCTCCCTGGACTTCAAGCCTATTGGTATATCCATTATGCTGAACTACCTTTCAACAGGAACATAGTGAGACCTCCGAAGACCTGTCAGAATCAAGAGGCGTGAAGCATAGACAGCCGTTAGCATAGGGCCAGACCTACAATAAATGTGCCATAAATATAGACAAAATAACTAAAATAGTCAGACACATAAATAAAGAGCCAGGACACAGGACCAGGCCTTCTGGTGTATTATTATTACCTTAACCCTTGGAGGCAGAGGCAGACAAATCTCTGTGAGTTCCCGATTAGCCAGGGCTCCATAGTGAGACCCTGTCTCAACAAATAAACACCACAATGCAAAGTCCAAAGTAAGCACAGCTAAGGTCTATCTCCCAGGAAGACCTCTTCTTGTCCACCTAGCTTTATTTACCATCGTGGACTTACAGGAGGTGATGGCTGGGGACGAGCACGCAGCCTAAATTTCCAGAGCTGCTTGCACAGCATTAAGTAGCCGGAACGCTTGGCTATTAACATTCAGGCTGCATCTAGGAGGACAGTTTCCAATCGAGCGTATAAAAAATGCATCTGCTACAAGAGTCCTCCTCTCCTTCAACCCCGACTTCCCAGTCACCCTGGGAATAAACAACTCTGGGGAGTCTCTTTGCAGCCTCTTAAAGTCGCACCCCACCCCCACCCCAAGGGACCCCAATCATAGGATCTCTCAGATCGTTTGAAAAAAGAAAAAAAAATGCATGAGGAGCCAAGAGCTTACGTTCTGGCCAAGTTAGGAGCCTATGAGAACAAGAGCTTAGGGGAGGGCTGTTCACTCCGAGCGTAGCAGAATTAGCTCTCTCCCTCTGGGTCTGCTCTGCCTGCAAAGCTCAGCAGCACCGAGGGAGAGAGATCCAGGAATCTGCAACAAAAACGATGACAGCCTGAAATAGCCCTCGGTGCCAACCTCCAAATTCTCATCTGTCACTTCAGACCCTGACTGGCTGGCGGGGCAGCAGAATTTCAACTCCAATAAACCTGAATGTGCTTCTAGGCAAAGAAGCCAAGCTCAGGAGGAAGGGGGTTGAAAGAGTTCCTCTTGGGCAGCTGTCAGACTTTTACTTCCTGCTGTGTTCACAGAGGGGATTCAACATCTGCTGAAGCCACCAAGGCACTGGATCCAGCCACTTCTCCGCAGGTAAATGTTAATGAATTCCCTATATTGGCTGATTGCATGTGTTAGACTGACTTCTGTTATCTGAAAGGGCTGGTTAATGATTTTGATTAAATAATTCAAAGCCATTTACTTATTTTAAAAATCCATTTTGAGTAATTTATAAGGTTAAAAAGAGAATTTTACTTTTCGTAGTCATTTTTCTTTGCCTCCTAAAATTAATAAACTAATAACCTATAGTTTTAGTGATGACCACACCAGAAATAAATACTTCAAATCAAACAATATGCATGTTTCTTATATTTAAACTATCTGCAGTTATCCATCATTGCGGTGAACTTAACAGCAATGTGGGACTGGAAAGCTTTGTTTTTTTGGAGAGTTAGGAACTCTCTCTGATAGCATATTCTACTTCTGCTACTTTCAAGTTATCCCTTTCCTGGTCTCTCTCTCTCTCTCTCTCTCTCTCTCTCTCTCTCTCTCTCTCTCTCCAGTTTAACAGGTTTTTCTCGACTCCTGTTCTCATTAGTTAAGATGTCCACAAGGGGACAGGAAATTTGCCCCACTACTGATAATGTCTTCGTTAGGCAAACAGATGCAGAAGGAGCGTGAAAAGCTAAGAGCAGCCGTGCAGTCTCCCAGACGCTTCTCCTATCTGGCTCTTCTCAGATGCAGCATTTTCCTGGGAGCCCCGCTTGCTCATTCCTCCAGGTCCAGATCTCCATGCTGGAGAGAGCTGCTCGCTGCTTTTGTCTGCAGAGCAGTACAGTTGACAAGGTGCCCCGAGACGTCCTGCTACAGTCTCTTGAGCACTGCCTTTGTCTGCAAAGAGGTTCAGCATGTCACTTTGACATTGTATCTGCCACTCCTCTGGAGCAGGCCCTGACCTCTCGGATTAGAAATGACCCCACAGTCCGCACTCCCCTCCCAAAAAAAAAAACAATTTATTCTCTCCTTTCTCATGGATGCCAGGGTTTTTTTTAGCCCAAAGCTTGCTCAGCTAAATCTTTATTATATAAGACCACATAGATGTGATTTATATGCACATTGTCACACTAAAAAGGTTTTCTTTGTTTTCTTCAATACCCTCTTCTTAGAGAACATTTAAATTTAGGATTATCTAGGGAATTCTAGCAAGGTAGAACTATCTATTTCATCTTCTTGTCATTCAATCAACTAACGCTACTTCCTACATCCGGGGAAAGAATATGTGTGTTGTTCAAAGATCGTGCCCCTCTCCCCTTGATTCACAGCTTTTGGACAGTCATCCAGTGGTTAGAGTATTGGGGGCTGTCTTCAGTTTAATCTCCTGCAGGCATTATGGTGCAGGGCTATAGCAAAAACAAGAAACAGCCATGACAGAAAGAGGCATGTCGTGCAGAAGCATCTGGGCAACTCCAGATGTTGCCTCTCTCACTCCCTCTTGACTGTTATTGTTTTCCCAGCTGACTTGCAGCCGTGCATGAACCTGTCTGCTTTGGTTAAGCTTTAGCATGATGTCCAGATAGCCATTGAGGACGTTTTTTTCCCTGTCAAGCATGACAAAAACAACTGATCACAAAGCTTGGGCCATGTTGGACTTTCTTATTATCCTGAACAATCTTCAGGGGGTAAACCAGGAGAACCTCTTACAGATCTCATAGGATGCCTTCTGTCCCGGCTGCATTTGTACCTGATTCCCACCTAGCCACAGCCTGCTTCTTTGTCCTGGACATCAAGGGTTATACAAAACTCTGACTCTGGAAGAGACTGGCCGCTTCAAAGATAGCCAATAAAATTAACATGAGAAAGACACTGGCCTCTGGTTTCATATGTGATGATCACATAACTCTGACTTATATAAGACCATATAGACGTGATTATATGTGCACATTGTCATACTAAATAGCTCACGGACCCTAGACAAGTGACTTTACCTTTTTTGTGCTATAGAACCCTTAGTGATGTCATCGGAATCATAAAAACAGCATTAGATAGTGCTGAGATATGATGTGAGAATTAAGTGGAAAAAATCTATGCCTGGTATATATTAAATAATCATAGCAACTATGAAAGGATTGGTCTAGTTTTTCCTTCACTACGTAAACTCTGGAAAGGGAAGGAACTTATGCACTGCACGCTAGCAAGTCCTCAGACTCAAGCTAAAATCCCCAAGTCAGCATGGCAGAGTGGATAGGCTTGGGCTGCCCCTGAGCTGCAACCTCAGCTCCCCCTCACACGCTGTGTGGACTTGGCCAGTCATTTCCCACCTCCACGCCTCAGCTATCCATCTCTTAGGCAAATAATCCCCAGAGGTGAGGTTGTTGTAAGGGTCAAATGAGATATTTATGAAACACAAGTGTGTATGGTACCAGCTACAACAGTAAATTCCCCAGAAATGCTACAATTGCCACAAGAAATCTCATGCCCCAAGCTGTCTATTATGATGTTGGAATGAGGCTTCTAGTGGCATTAGAAACGAATAAGGAAATATTCTTTCAGTTATCTTTTCTTTATTCGAAGAAATTAGAGGAAACCATTTTCAGAACCTCAACACAGGTGCTTGTTCCTGAGTCTCCATGCTCCCTCGATTGGCAGCTTCTGAAAGGGCCGAGTCAAATGGGAGGTGCCACTTTTCAGGCCAGCTCTTCCGGAGGCAGAGAGGAGCCGTGCCGCACTGCGGCCAGCTCTGGTTTAGGGATCTCCTTGGACAAGGGGGAGGCCCCAACACTTTTCCTTTCAGACCTTTCTGGAAGGCAAGAATAGAGGTTTTGACTTGCTCTGGGGGTGTGTTTTCCTCTCTGTTGACATCCAAACAAAAAGGCTTTTTTGGTGCTGGTTGTTGTGCTTTTTGTAAACTTCTCCCCTATGTTCCTAGCACTGAGATGTCAGCTGCTTTTTCTGGCTATGTAAAGTAGGAGCTGCCTGTTGTCATAGTGATGAAAGGGTACAGAGAGAGTCCCAAGTCATGACCAGCTCTGTGAAACAGCTCTTGTTAGTCTTAAAATCTTTCAGTGGAGATAAGGTGTCCAGTTCTGGCTCATTTCTTGCCTATTATGCAACCAACTTATGTGCAGCAGTAGCTAAATGTTTCCTTTAAAGATTCAGTGAATAGAAGGTATGAAGAAAGCAACTAGAGCAGCAGCCGTCTCCTGTGGGGTGCAAGGGGGAAAACCGGGGAGAGAAAGGATAAATAAAAGTCACCCTCCCCAATGGCACACACTGTGGTTGTTACTCAGCATCAAGCCTGTGTTAGAACCAGCCACTAAACTCAAAGGCCCTTGCTTCTCCTGTTTTTCAAAGGGGGAACTGATCGTTGTAAGATGAACTGAGGCGATGGATGAAAGCTTAGCAAGGATTGGTTTTATTGTCCTTTTCATGATGAGGTCTAATGCTGACAGACATGGTCCTTTGGAACTTGGAGTCTCCCGGAGAGAAAATTGTAATAATAGCCTCAGAAAAAAAAAAAATTGCTTACTTGACCGGTAAATTTGTAAAGGAAAAATAAAGGGAATAATTATCAGTTTAGGGGTTGGTATTTATTTATTCATTACGTTTTTGAAGAATATAAAAGTCTTTTCTTGTCTTAGTACTAGGACAAAAGGTATAAGCCATTTCATCTTCCCTGAGATGTTAGGTTTCCTAATATCTTAGGTCAGACAATTGCCTAAAGAATGCTATTTTTACCTGATGCCTCAAACTACTGATGCATTCAGTGTTGTTTATCCTGTGAAATGTCCGGGGGTTGGGATGGGGGAGCAAGGAGATGAGCCGGAGCGAGGCTGTGCTCCTCAGGGCCCGTGTGTACTGAAACAGTCATTAATCAAGCCATCCCAGGAATGGAAATTGCATACGCAAGCATGAGGTGGCCTTGAGGACAAAGCCATCTTCATCTTTCTAACAGTTCTGGCCAACCCGAATGTGCAAATGGACAACGTGTGATAATGTGTACTGCAGATCTCTAACCTATTATTCACGTGCCAATTTTAAATACCATTTCATCTTAGTCCATTTTGTGTGTTTTATCATCTCACGTTTCCTGCCTTGTGTGGAGAATCTCCGCATGTGTCTTTAACATCCGTGTCTGTGTGGACTGGATCTGCTCTGTCATTGCCTGACAGCAAGCATCCTCCATCCTGCAGACTGTGATTCACCTGCTGCAAACCTGCTGATGCTGCGAAAGCAGCTCCGGGTGCAAGTTCTCACCCTAAGGTGATGCCATCCAGATTTTAATTACTTACTGTTCCGCCTCTCCTGGTGCTCTTTAACGGGCTTATGGAAAACCACTTAAATCTGTAAGTGAAGCTCTAGAATTGTGTGGTTTCCACACTTGCAATAATGAAGTCATGCCCTAAGAATAGTGATTAAGTCTCCTTTATCTCTTCCCTCACCTGTTTGGTCAAGGTTGGGGTTTACTAGGAATGAAAACAGGCCATGCTTGAGGCTGCTTCGGATTGGTTTCCTTAATAGTACTCTTTTTTGCTTGAAATTATGTCATTCAGACCAGGGGCTCTCATAAGAGAGAATGCAGAGACACCAAATACAATGAATCAGTATTTTTATACAGCATGAAAAAATTCACCCTACCTCTGAACACATATTGCTTGCAATTGTATACTGAGACATATGTTGCACGGTTAAAGCGTGTTTGTTCTAAGAGAATTTGATGGAGCTTGACCTCTACTCAAGGTCAAAAGTGACTTCTCCCTGCTCCCATCCTTCCCTCCTCCCTCATCTGAAGGCTATAAATAGGGGTTGTGTGTGGCAGGGTGGTTGGGAGGAAAAATGTGAGCAGGAAGGATCATAGCCTATATGATGAACAAGCAATCAACCGATCTGAGAAAGAAGAGGGAAGGAGACTTGAATCTAAATTTTCCCCCGCAAAGCACTTCACCGCTATATTTGGGGACTCTGTTTGATTCAGGTTGCATGTGCATCTCAATATCTCTGTGGATTTCTGGTCAGGTCCAAAGACCCAGCGACAATGAGCCTCGTCTACCCCAAATGAAGAACCACATGGGAGTTTGTGGTCTGGGAAAGTCTGA